TGTGCTGTTGGCTGGCCATATCACAGCAGACTTTGATCCTGGTGGGACAAGGGCCCAATCCAGCAATATAGGTTATAGTCAAAAAAGTTAGGAAGGCAAATTCCAGAGATGGGGACTTTTTTTTTAAGGGGAGATGAGTATTTCTGGAAGCAGGTTCAGAGAAAAAGAGTGGGGCACATAACTGGGAAATTTCTACCTGCAATACTACAAATATTTGGATTATTTCAAAAGTCCAGATTTTGCCAATAAAGAATTATAATATATTATGGACACTTGAATATTGTTGGTTTAAATCTGAAATTTAATTATTAAATGATAGGAGTAAGGAATCTAGCAATTACAATTATAAGCAGTTACATAAGCAGGGATGGTATTCAGCAGGTTCTAATCAGTTCTGGAGAACTGGTAGCGGAAATTTTGAGTAGTTTGGAAGAACTGGCAAATACCACTTCTGGCTGGCTCTGCCCCATCTATTCCCTGCCTCCCGAGTCTCAGCTGATCTGGAGGAAATTGAGATTTTACAGTATCCTTCGCCTGCCATACCCACCAAGCCATGCCCACCAAGCTACACTACGCCCACTAAGCCACACCCACAGAACCAGTAGTAAAAAAAAATGAATCCCACCACTGATTAAAATTCTTGTAGTCCCTTGATAATTACCTTTACTGGCTGAAGTGACAGAAACTGAGATATATTTATATTTTATTTTGTGAGGATAAACATATATTTTGTGAGGATAAACATCCTAAGTGAATGACTCTATTATATTTATTACTGTTGTGATTGGGAGTCTAGTTACAGTGTATTCTAAAAATATATTACCAAATGCAAAAAGGTCTGTTATGACTCTATGTAACACAAAAAGTCAGTGGTTTGCCAGTTCAGTTTGTGTGTGGTTTTAGCATAATTCTTCTGATAAGTGCAAAACAGCAACTATATTTTATTTGGGCTTATGCCATGTGGCCAAGCCTGTTAAGGTAAAAGGCTTTGCTTTAAATTAAATGTTATGCTTTTAAAGCCATGCCACAAACTGGTCATAAATCCAGATATTCTAGTTGAACTGGATTTCCTTCTTGAAAGTGTTCTTTTTCATTCCTTTCATTTTAAAAATAGCTGAAACTATACCGCATTACTAAGCAACCTTTTGGCTGGTGGGCATGTTTGAAACTTTTGAGAGGTTAAATAAAATAGCTGCTACTTAATACAAAGCACACAAGCTTGTCAGATTACTCCATTTCACAGAATGTGCACAGCTATCTTAGCTTATCTCCCCACCCCTCTCTGCATACTTTTCAGTTAGTTGCACCCATTTTCAGACAAAGCTTGGAATTTCAACCACCAGCTTTATTTTTGTTTTAGAATGCCTGTGATAACTCTGGGGCTCAAATTCATTCTGAAAAATAAAAAGGAGCTGGTGCTTTCTGGCAGTCAAATTTTCTATTTACTTAGACTCATAATCAAATAGTTGAAGGGGGGAGGGTCATTCAGTCCAACCACTCCTTACATACCATGTAGTAATCTAAAAGGAAGTATCTATTAGGGAACTGCACCTAATGGGGGAAATACTTTGCTTATATCCTGAAACAAAATCATAGCTATAGATTCTGCTGTTTTTAGTCTGTTTGGTTACTTTGAGTTTTGCAGAACTCAAACATGGAATGTTTGCTGATATAGGTTTGGAATGGGAAAAAAAAATCTTGCCATGGATAATTTGGAGTTCCCTCAACATCTCCCAGTGAAGCATCCCATTACTTTCCCTCCCACCTTCCCAGCTGTCATCACTGTCCATGCTCCAGCAGGGCAACTCCCATGAATCCACCCCCATCTTCCAAAAGCCTTCTCTTTCCACCCTGTCCTTGTTGTTGTTACTTGGGAAGTCTTGTCCAACCCATTGCAACCCCATGAACAACGTTCGTCCAGGCCTTCCTATCCTCTATCATCCTCTGGAGTCCATTTAAGCTCACGCCTACTGCTTCAGTNCCCCCCCCCCCGGTCAAAGGTGTCCCTCTTTACCAATCTGAAAATCTGGTCACCTTACACAAAAGGGCAAATAAAAACATTTACAACATCCAAATCAAAGGTCAAAATCCATCATTTCCTGTCCTTGAGGCAAACCTGCTCCAATTGAGTAGACTTAGCGGAAGAGTTGAACTAAATTTAATCAAGAGTTGGACTAAGAGCTGAGACCATTGGCCAGAGTTGAGCTTAGAATGTAGTCAATCATCCTAATCACTTGGTCACCTCTTCATTTGCTCAACATTCCTTTCCCCCCCTTCTCTCTCCTTGACTGCTTTCATACTTATCAACTTTCCTATCCCCATTCTGGGAAGCAAAATGAACCTTTGCTTTACTATTACCAAACAAACATCATAAAATCTGTTAAGGAAGTACAAATTCCTGGACTTCTTCATATATGAATCCCATAACACAAAACTCTAGCAAAAGTATAGAATGAACAGGAGAACTATGTCAAGGCAAGCCTCACCTGCTGGAAAAAAAATCCTCCTTCCCCTTGTGGTAGGGTCAGAGCTGACATTATAAGGGCATTTTGAGTATCTCAAACCATTGCTTATTGACATTCTCCTCTTCACAAGTGGATGTTAGAATCAAGTTCAACCCCCAACTCAGTGAAGAATCCATTACAGCCTGTATGACAGATGTTCAAACAATCTGTATTCAAAAATTTCCAATGAAGAAAAACTAGCACAATCTGTATCAATCTATTCCACTAACCAAGAGCTTGTAAACCGAGTAATCCGTAGCCTGAATATACTTCCTTGTATCATTGATTCTGGTTATGTCCACTGGGTCAATAGAAAATAAATCCCATGCTCTTCCAAATGACAGCCCTTCACACAGCTGAAAACTATTATCTTTCTTCGGGCATCTCTTCTATATGTTAAACATATCTATAATCTGTTTTTTATATATATAGCTTGGTTTTCAGATGAATCACCATTGTGATACTACTCTTCTAAATTTGCTCCCATTTATAATTGTTCTTTTTATTTATATTCTACCTTTATTATTTTTCCAAACATAAGGCAGTGAACATATTAAAAACACCCTCCTCCTCCTGTTTTTCCCACAACAATACCTGTGAGGTGAGATGGAGTGAGAGAGAGTGACTGGCCCAGGGGTGGGTTTCAGTCGGTGTTACTGCTGGTTCGTTCATGCGCACGGCTCATGCACACACATGCACAATTCAATGGAAATTGTTCTGTGCATGCGCAGAACTAAAAAAAAATGGCGGTGGTGACAGCGGCGACCCAGGCTGGCATACCACTACTTGTTCGCTGAACCGGATCAAACTGGTAGGAACCCACTGGACTGTCATCCAGCTGGCCTTCATGGCTAAGGCGAGTCTTAGATTCACAGTGTCTTGCTTTCTAGCCCGGTGCCTTAACCACTAGACCAAACTTATTTGTAACCAGAACAGAATTAGTATTCCAAGTAGGATCTAATCATGGAAGAGTAGAATTGGGACAGTTATTTCCCATGACGTGAACATTAGGTCTTGCAAATGTACCTTAAAGTGTCATTTGCCTTTGTAGCATCTATTTCACCCTGGTGATACACATTGAATTTGTGATCAACAAGAATCAGATTCTTTTCACATAAATTGCTGCGAAGTCTCCCCATCTCTTACTTTTGCCTATCCAGTTGCAGAAGTTTATGTTTCTCAACTAAGTTCCCTCTTATTTATTTCAGCACACTTGTCTAGTTTTTTTTTGTTTCTAATTCCTTATCTCCTCTTAATTATTAACCATCCTACCTTTAAGTCTACTTAGCATTTATTTAGCTTCCTCATCCAAGAGACTGGTAAAAATGTAACAAGACACAAGACAGAGCTCTGTGGAACCCCACAACTAAGAGGAAACCATTAGGATCATTCTTAGAGTGTGGTCATTCAGCCAGCTGCAAATCTTCTAACAATAGTGTCATTTGGCTCTTACTTTACCATTTTTTGAAAACCAGACTATTTGAAAGTCTTGGTATATTATGTCTGCAGCATATCAATCATCTATTATACTAACAACGTTTTCAAAAGAGGAGATAAATTTAGATTGAATGACATCAAAAACAGAGTTGGGTTGGGTTCACAGAATACAGTGAACCACAGACAATGGTGGTTTTTTTAGCCCAGTTGTGAACCCAGCCACAACCTTGTAACAGGTATTTTTTACATTCTTGATTTTCCCCCTCCCTAATGCTAGAGTTGATGAACGGCTTAGCTAAATACCTGCTCATCACTTGCTGACTCAAAGAAGAGTTAATCTTTCCCATACCTACTGTACTTCTAAACTTTTGATGTCCTTTCTATATAACTTTCATAATCTGCAACCAACTCACCAACCAATCCACCAATTCTGGCTTTGTGCCATGAATGATGCAGCTCAGCCAATCCAGTAAATTTAATGTAGTATGATTTAGCTTAGCTAAATATAGTATTTGCACTTAGCAAATACTGCCAGTGGTTGATTTAAGAAATTAAAACCAAAGGAGGTCGGCTACGATTTCTTTTCCCACCCACCCCATTCCTTCCAGCCTGATATTGACTAAGCAACAGGCAAGGAGAGACTTTTCAAAGATAAGCGACTTATCTTTGCCCCGTCCTTCTCTTCTATTGATTTTTGCTGCAGGGCACAGAATGGGAATTGAATTAACCTTCGCGCTACGAAGAAGCAGGAACAGGAAGGGCAATGAAAAGCAATCGGAGCGGCCAATGGGAGAATCAAGTTCCCTAAAATGTGTCTTATTCCTCCCATGCGATCCATCGCTACCCCAGCCCAGCGAGCCCACTCGAACGGAACAGCCCCTAGAACTTGCTGAGTTTGCGGGACGTTAAAGGTAAGCCTCGAGCCCTACCCGCCCGCCGCTCCGTTCGGAAGGTTGCGGCTTCACCTGACTTCAACAGGTGAGATCCTTCCTCTGTCCTCAGAGTTCCCGCGCAGGTTCTCTTCCCTCCCTCTCCCGCCAGTCGCTCCCCACCACTCACCATGGCTGCCGCAGACCCGCTTCCCCGGAGGTTCGTTCCCCCCCGCCCGCCCGATGCGGGTCTCCCCCCTCCCCCCGGCGCCACAGGTGAATTTCCAGTCGCTCGCTCCGCTTTCCCATCATGCCCTAAACTGAAAGTTCTTGACTCCTCCTCCCCTCCTCCGCCTGGCCTCCCGTGCAACTCGGGCAACCGCCCCACGGGCACTTCGGGGGCACGCGGGAGAGGGCGCTCTCCCGAATCGGTGAATGGAAAATTTACGAGCGACGCCTGCCTGCCACCGTTCGCAAAGAGCCAAGGTGGCGCAGTGGTTAAATGCAGCACTGCAGGCTACTGCTAGATCAGCAGTTCAGCGGTTCAAATCTCACCGGCTCAGGGTT